CTTCCCCCATCTTCTTGATTTGTATATTGCTTTTATAGATTTGTTATTTGTGTTTTAATCAGGGGGTATTTATATTTTTATTGTTTTTATTGTTGGCTTTTAATTGTAAGCCACCCAGAGTCACCCTCTGGGGGAAATGGGTGACGTATAAATTTAATAATAAATAAAAAATAATGTGTAAGAAGAACAGGGATGGGAAATGACCAATTCTGAAGAGCATACAAAGTAATTGAAGAGGAAGGCATTCTTTCAGTCAGGAAACTGGTAATTCACATGCATGTACCTTCTGATTTTTATAGGATTTGGCTTCTTGGCATCTGGGCAGATGGACGTGGTAGTTGCTGGTGGTGTTGAAATGATGTCAGATATTCCTATCAGGCATAGTCGGAAGATGAGGAAGACTATGCTTGGTCTTACAAGAGCAAAAACCTTAGGCCAGAGGTTGTCCCTGATCTCCAAAATCCGTCCTGATTACTTTGCACCTGAGGTAAAAGCAGGAAAAGACTTTCATTTCACTCCCTGCCTGAGTAACCAATTTAGAAAATGAACAAGGATAAATGGAATAAGAATCAGCTAGAGAGCATACTGTGGCCAAGGATGGTTGCTGACTGTGTCTGTCCCCTGGGTACCACATCTTCAACTTTCATTCATCTTGGTCTTGAAAACAAACAGTTTATAAAAGTAGTCAAGGATTCAAGCACTACTACTTGCTTTGTATCAGCCATTATGAGAATTCTGAGGAGAAGAGAATAATGCCTGCATGCGAGGAAAGAGATATCCTGTCAAGCTCTTAGCAGTTGTTCACAACCAACCCCCCCCCCCAATTCTTATGCAGTCTCATTTAACCAGATTGATTGAAAGGGGAAAGAAATTTGTTACAGAAAACTTGGGGATTGGATATATTTAGTTTAACATTTAATTTATTTCTGTGCTTGTTGATCTTTTTACTGAACATCTGTTAACATTCTGGGGAGATGGCTACCTGTATTCCTGATAAAGGAAGAATGTGCAGATGTTCTTTGTAATACTTTGCAAGCTGTCTCCCAGGCTTTGAGAAGTTCATTACATAGCAGAGCAAAGTGAGACTGAGGCTGATGTATGGAATTCCTTTGCTGAAGGAAAAAATAGGTTGAGAGAGGAAAGAGTCATGACCAAGTTTGTAGGTAAAGAAGCTTAGGAGGAAGAGTAGATGAAATGGGAGATGGCAAAAGATGAACAAGTGTACACCATGTTATAGTACATATTTTACATTGCTAAATCTTATGGATTTACATTCAGCTATTAGGTTATGAAGCTGTTTGAACTGAGTTTAGGGAAACTGATCTTCACATATAACATTCTGGCTAATTCTAGCTCCCTTCAGTGGCAGAATTTTCCACCAACGAGATCATGGGTCATTCAGCAGATCGCCTGGCAGCTGCATTTGCTATTTCGCGTTTGGAGCAAGATGAATATGCTCTCAGGTCACACAGTCTGGCCAAGAAAGCACAAGATGAAGGACTTCTCACAGATGTGGTAGCATTCAAAGTCCCAGGTAAAATGATTGTTTAGAGGAACCTGTTGCAGTGGTTCCACATTCCAGATGGAAAGGAAGGAAACATTTTTTGTCTCAGAATGGCTTTTAGTTGAAGTAATCAGCTGTATAAAGAAAGGGAGCTCTTAAGGATACGAGAGACAAAATCCTGTTTTTACAGATACTAGGTTTTTCTCCTCTTCTGCTTTATTCTTCCCCTCAATTAAGCAGACTTCTCTCTTCCTAGTTTATGGAACTCTTCAGTGGATGAGTTAAGACTCAAACATATGCTTTATCTATGCTTAATTCCTGCATTAGTTCAGCCACACTCATATAGCAAAAAAAGGAAATTAAAAACTTTGCTGATACCCTATTTAACTTGGGATAATTTTAAGTATTTGTAGGAGCAACAAAGTACATTTTATATTTAGGTAATGCAGAACAGCAAATTTTCTTTAAAGATATGTGTAGCTTCATCCAATTCAGTAACAAATCTAAGAAACAAAATATCCATTATCTCTGGTCAAAATGTTGACTGAATGACTCCTGTTAAAATGCTAGTAGTAAGTCAGTCAGATGGGCCAGATTCAAGTCCAAGCCAGAGGCTGTGCTGGTTGGGGATTATGGATGTTGAAACCTAGTATGTGTGAAGGGCACCAAGTTGGGAAGGGCTCCCTAAAGAGAGGCAAAGTGACAGACTGGAAATCTTGAAGGTGGAGGAGAAGATGAAGTAGAGGAAGAGAAGGAATAGTCCATAGGGAATAAGGGGAAAACATGTAGGCGTGCAAGAGCATGAGTTGCAGAGGCTGCAGTCAAGAATTGCAGAAATGAGGAAGAATGAACTTCACAGGTAGACTTTCAACACACCAGATGTATCTTGAGCCTTAGGCCTCTTCACATGTTTGACTCTTGCAGGGAAGGACACTGTCGTGAAGGATAATGGAATCCGACCATCTTCATTGGAAGAAATGGGTCGACTGAAAGCTTCTTTTATCAAACCATATGGGACTGTAACAGCTGCCAACTCCTCTTTCCTGGTAATACGCTTGTACTTTTTCCTCTGAAAAATATATTCTGAAAGTTCTTCACTATACAACAGAATCATAATTGCTGAAACTTTAGACTGGCATTTGCTTTTACTCAGAATAAGTTACAAAGTTGATTCAAATATAGCACCAAGCCAAAATCTGGCTTTCATGAAGGACCCTTGGCTATTTCTCAAGAGTTTATGGTTGCATCTAAAACTTGCATATGGTTATGTGCCACTTTATCCAGGGTTTGACAGTGATTTCTCATCCTAGTAATGCAGTAACATTGGGAGGGATGAGATGGATTTGGGTTTTTTGTTCACTGGGTTAAGGATAGTAATGGATGTGGGAGACCTCTGGGAGGCAAGTTGTGCTCATCCCCACTCAGATCTCTCCATCTTCCTGCAAAATGGGTGAAAATGCCATTTTTCAGGCTGATTAGGGGCTGTTTGGCATTTGGGGGAGGGGTTAAGACTTTGGATACCATAGATGGAGAGTTGAGGTGCTGCATCATAGGTTGCCCTTCTCTGTGCTAAGACAAGAGTTAGGTTTCTACTACATTTTGGATTATAAACTACCGAACCTTATTTAGTCTTGTCTAGCATGTGTGAACCTAGACACAATGCCATAAGCAAACAAGACTAAAAAAGGCCTGTCTGCAAGTTATACAATATATATCCCTGTCACACTGATTCTGGTTTGGATTGATTCAGCAATGAATTAAGCTGTTTTCCTAAAATCCAAAACAGTGTGGTGTGGCTCATTTTCCAAACCAGTGTGGCATTGAAAATATCTCTGCTCAGCCCCTAATGCCTTCCTCATCAAGTATAAACTTGGTATGGAAATAGAAGATGTGAAAAAAAGAAATGAGAAAGAAGATGATTTTTCTCTTTCCTGCAACGATGGTAGTGGTGGTTGTTCAGTCATTAAGTCATGTCCGACTCTTTGTGACCCCATGAACCATATCGCGCCAGGTCTTCCTGTCCTTCACTGCCTCC